GGCTTTGGCCTATAAAGCCCTAAACAGCCCCGGCCCAAATTACCTGTCTGAACGCATCTCCCCCTATATACCATCGCGGAGATTAAGATCCTCTGGGGAGGCCCTGCTTTCCATCCTGCCATTGTCACTGACACGATTGGTGGGGATGAGAGACAGGGCCTTCTCGGTGATTTCTCCCCGGCTATGGAACTCCCTTCCTGGTGAGATCAAGCCGGCTCCCTCCTGTCCTTTAGAAGGATGGCAAAAACTTGGCTGTGGGACCAAGCTTTCGGGACAGGGCAATAAAGCGGCAGTGGGAAAGATGACAGGGCCAATTAGATTTGACGCGGATGACTAGGATGGTTCTAAATGGTGTATTTTAATATTTTGATAAATGTTTTTTTAATGTTTATGTATGGGTATGTGAATTTGTGTCCCAGCATTGAATGTTTGCCATGTATATGCTGCGCTCCGCCCTGAGTCCCCTTCGGGGTGAGAAGGGCGGAATATAAATGTTTTAAATAAATAATAGATAGATAGATAGATAGATAGATAGATAGATAGATAGATAGAGATAGACATAACGATAAAGATAAATATAGGGAAGAATCGATGGACAGAGAGATCATAGAATCATAGAATCCTAGAGTTGGAAGAGACCTCATGGGCCATCCAGTCCAACCCCATTCTGCCAAGAAGCAGGAATATTGCATTCAAATCACCCCTGACAGATGGCCATCCAGCCTCTGTTTAAAAGCTTCCAAAGAAGGAGCCTCCACCACACTCCGGGGCAGAGAGTTCCACTGCTGAACGGCTCTCACAGTCAGGAAGTTCTTCCTCATGTTCAGATGGAATCTCCTGTCTTGTAGTTTGAAGCCATTGTTCTGCGTCCTAGTCTCCAGGGAAGCAGAAAACAAGCTTGCTCCCTCCTCCCTGTGGCTTCCTCTCACATATTTATACATGGCTATCATATCTCCTCTCAGCCTTCTCTTCTTCAGGCTAAACATGCCCAGCTCCTTAAGTCGCTCCTCATAGGGCTTGTTCTCCAGACCTTTTATCATTTGAGTCGCCCTCCTCTGGACACATTCCAGCTTAGAGTCAACATCTCCCTTCAACTGTGGTGCCCAGAATTGGACACAATATTCCAGGTGTGGTCCAACCAAAGCGGAATAGAGCATGGGGAGCATTACTTCCCTAGATCTAGACACTATGCTCCTATTGATGCAGGCCAAAATCCCATTGGGTTTTTTTTGTCGCCACATCACATTCCTGGCTCATGTTTAACTTGTTGTCCATGAGGACTCCAAGATCTCTTTCACACGTACTGCTCTCGAGCCAAGCATTGTCCCCAGGAATTGTCTCGAGCCAGGAATTGTCTCCTAGGAAGGGAAGTTCACTCCTGGAAGAATTACTATTTCCAGACGTGACCCACGTGCCTGACTTTTCTCTCTCCTCCCTGGTTTGTGTCTCCCGGCAGGCAGCGCGCCACCGCAGCACCTCATCAGGGTGGAGGCTAATCAGCTGGCCCAATATATTGACGACCCAAACACCAAGCGGCACAGTGTCGTCGTGCCGTATGAAAAAGCACAGGTTATCGGGGATTGGTCGGGGAGAGAGGGGCCTGCCAAGGATGGAACAAATGTTAATGTTTTTTTGCTGTTAAATATGCAAGAGCATATTTGTTGTTGTTTGTTGTTGGGCGAGTGAGCTTATTTACAAAAGGCCCTCCTCAGAAATGCACAGCAGAGTAACTTATTAGCAGCAGCGTGACCCAGCACCAGGAGCCCAAAGTGATTAAAAAAGAGCGAAAACACACAGTCCAATGTAATTTCTTCCATAGGAGGCTTTCCTTTGTAGTAAAATAATATGGTTCCACTATTTACAAGAACTAGGCTTCCGTAACACAAATGAACAAGCACATAGTAGCCTTCACACTGGAGTTTTCTCACATGAGGCTTCTCTCACACTGAGATTTACCTCACACTCCTCAGGACGACACTAGCTTTGGCCCACTAACTCTTAACGGGCTTCAGTCTACTCACTCTCCTTAGTACAACACTACCTTCGCCAACTCACTTTCCTCAGGACAACACTAGCTTTGGCCCACTGACTCTGACAGGCTTTGGCCTACACACTCTCCTCAGGACGGCACTAGCTTTGGCCCACTAACTCTTAACGGGCTTCAGTCTACTCACTCTCCTGAGGATAACACTACCTTCGCCAACTCACTTTCTCAGGACAACACTATCTTTGGCCCACTGACTCTAAACAGGCTTCAGCCTACTCACTCTCCTCAGGATGACTCTAGCTTTGGCCTACTGACTCTAAACAGGCTTCGGCCTACTCACTCTCCTCAGGATGACACTAGCTTTGGTCCACTGACTGTTAACAGGCTTCGGCCTACTCACTCTCCTCAGGATGACAGTAGCTTCGGCCCACTGACTCTAACAGGCTTCGGCTTACCCACGCTCCTCAGGACAACACTAGATTTGGCCCACTGACTCTTAACAGGCTTTGGCCTACACATTCTCCTCAGGACAACACTAGCTTTGGCCCACTGACTTTAACAGGCTTCGGCCTACTCACTCTCCTCAAGACAACACTAACTTCGGCCCATTGACTCTTAACAGGCTTCGGGCTACTCACTCTCCTCAAGACGACACTAACTTCGGCCTATTGACTCTTAACAGGCTTTGGCCTACTCACTCTCCTCAGGATGACACTAGCTTTGGCCCACTGACTCTGACAGGCTTCGGCCTACTCTCCACAGGACAACACTAGTTTTGGCCCACTGACTCTTAACAGGCTTCGGCCTACTCACTCTCCTCAGGACGACACTAGCTTTGGCCCACTGACTCTTAACAGGCTTTGGCCTACTCACCTCAGGACGACACTAGCTTTGGCCCACTGACTCTTAACAGGCTTCAGCCTACTCACTCTCCTCAGGACGACACTAGCTTTGGCCCACTGACTCTTAACAGGCTTTGGCCTACTCACTCTCCTCAGGACGACACTAGATTTGGCCCACTGACTCTTAACAGGCTTTGGCCTACACATTCTCCTCAGGACAACACTAGCTTTGGCCCACTGACTTTAACAGGCTTCGGCCTACTCACTCTCCTCAAGACAACACTAACTTCGGTCCATTGACTCTTAACAGGCTTCGGGCTACTCACTCTCCTCAAGACGACACTAACTTCGGCCTATTGACTCTTAACAGGCTTTGGCCTACTCACTCTCCTCAGGATGACACTAGCTTTGGCCCACTGACTCTGACAGGCTTCGGCCTACTCTCCACAGGACAACACTAGTTTTGGCCCACTGACTCTTAACAGGCTTCGGCCTACTCACTCTCCTCAGGACGACACTGAGCTTTGGCCCACTGACTCTTAACAGGCTTTGGCCTACCCACGCTCCTCAGGATGACACTAGCTTTGGCCCACTGACTCTTAACAGGCTTTAGCCTACTCACTCTCCTCAGGATGACACTAGCTTTGGCCCACTGACTCTAAAAGGCTTCGGCTTACCCACGCTCCTCAGGACAACACTAGATTTGGCCCACTGACTCTTAACAGGCTTTGGCCTACACATTCTCCTCAGGACAACACTAGCTTTGGCCCACTGACTTTAACAGGCTTCGGCCTACTCACTCTCCACAGGACGACACCGAACTTTGGCCCACTGATTCTAACAGGCGTCGACCTACCCATGATCCTCAGGACGACACTAGTTTTGGCCCACTGACTCTTTACAGGCTTCGGCCTACTCACTCTCCTCAGGACGGCATTAGCTTTGGCCCACTGACTCTGACAGGCTTACAAATACAAAACAGACAATGACATCAAATAAAAATAAAAGATCTGTTATGTATTTTGTGCATTGGCATCATCTTGGTTCCTAACAGTTCAAAGAGATAACCAAGTATATCAGTCTAACAGCCGAGAAGCCTAAATTGCCTTGTGTGAATACAAATGGATATTTACCACTAAGGAGAAAATTAACTCAAGTGGGTTTTCAACTCTTCTCAGGAAGACCATACTTTACGAAGGGTTATGATCTTTAAACAAGGTCATGCTTTCCAAAAGGTTATGATTATTCCAAATAGTGTGAATACCAATTACCGTATATACTCGAGGATAAGCCGGCCCGAATATAAACCGAGGCAGCTAATTTTACCACCAAAAAATGGGAAAACTTATTGACTCGAATATAAGTCGAGGGTGGGAAATGCAGCAACTATTGGTAATACAAAATAAATATAGATGCCAATAAAATTACATTAATTGAGGAAACAGTAGGTTAAATGTTTTTCAATGTTTACATAAAACTGTAATTTAAAATAAGACTGACCAACTTTGATTAAACCATTATTCTAACCTTTTTCAGTGTCAATGTGCTTACGTATCCTTCCAATAATAAGAAAGAAAGTAAAATAAAAAATGTAATAACAACAATACAGTAAAATAATAAATGTAATAATAATAATAATAATAATAAACAGAGTTAAATGAGTGTAATAAAATAATAACAGAGTAAAATAATGCAAATGTAATAATACCAATAATAGAGGAAAATAATAAATGTAATAACAATAATAGTAAAGTAAAATAACAAATGTAATAGTAATAATAATAAATAGAGTAAAATAAATGTAATAAAATAATAATAGGGTAAAATAATGCAAATGTAATAATACCAATAATAGAGGAAAATAATACATAATAATAATATTAAAGTAAAATAATAAATGCAATAGTAATAATAAATAGAGTAAAATAAATGTAATAAAATAATAATAGAGTAAAATAATGCAAATGTAATAATGCCAATAATAGAGGAAAATAATAAATGTAATAACAATAATACTAAAGTAAAATAATAAATGTAATAATAATAAATAGAGTAAAAGAAATGTAATAAAATAATAATAGAGTAAAATAATGCAAATGTAATAATTCCAATAATAGAGGAAAATAATAAATGTAATAAAAATAATAGTAATAACAGAGTAAAATAATAAATAACTTTGATTCGAGTATAAGCCGAGGGCAGCTTTTTCAGCCTAAAAAGGGGGCTGAAAAGCTAGGCTTATACTCGAATATATACAGTAATCTCCAAAAGGGTCACACTTCCAAAAGGCTTTGGAAATTCATGCTTTTCCCTAATAGTTGTTCTATTTGAGGAACTTTGTTGTTGTGGTTGAATTGGTTCAGATATTCATTGTAAAATTTGATCAAAATGTGCTACAAGATATCCCTCCCACAAAGTTTTTGCAGTTTAATAAACTTTCCCCATGTTTTTATGATTTATTTATTTGTCGTGTCAGGGCAACCAGTCAATTGTATTACATTTCTAACAGAACAAAACAAACAAACAAACAAACAAACAAAATACAAAATTTGTGAGTTTGGTAGTTGATTAAATGTCCTTTGACCAGTATCTGGCCACTTGGAGTGCTTCTGGTGTTGCTGCAAGGAGGTCCTCCATTGTGCATGTGGCAGGGCTCAGGGTGCGTCGCAGCAGGTGGTCAGTGGTTTACTCTTCTCTGCACTCGCATGTCGAGGATTCCACTTTGTGGCCCCATTTCTGAAGGTTGGCTCTGCATCTCGTGGTGCCAGAGCGCAGTCTGTTCAGCGCCTTCCAAGTCGTCCAGTCTTCTGTCTGCCCAGGGGGGAGTCTCTCATTTGGTATCAACCACTGATTGAGGTTCTGGGTTTGAGCCTGCCACTTTTGGACTCTCGCTTGCTGAGGTGTTCCAGCGAGTGTCTCTGTAGATCTTCGAAAACTATTTCCTGATTTAAGTTGTTGACGTGTTGGTTGATACCCAAACAGGGGATGAACTGGAGATGTCACTGCCTTGGTCCTTTCACAATTGCTGCTGCTTCCCAGCGGATGTCAGGCGGTGCAATACCGGCTAAGCACTGTAACTTCTCCAGTAGTGTAGGGCGCAGACACCCCGTGATAATGCGGCATGTCTCATTAAGAGCCACATCCACTGTTTTAGTGTGGTGAGATGTGTTCCACACTGGGCATGCGTACTCAGCAGCAGAGTAGCACAGTGCAAGGGCAGATGTCTTCACTGTGTCTGGTTGTGATCCCCAGGTTGTGCCAGTCAGCTTTCGTATGATATTGTTTCTAGCGCCCACTTTTTGCTTGATGTTCAGGCAGTGCTTCTTGTAGGTAAGAGCACGGTCCAGAGTGACTCCTCCCAGGTATTTGGGTGCGTTGCAATGCTCCAGTTTTTATGATAGAACCAATTAAGACCTTGGGTTTAGAACCTAGGAACAAAAAATCATGTTCCATAGTGTTGTCAATTTCGGGTAACGGTGCTGTTGTCTCTCCATTCCTTTCTAGGTGGGTGCCGACAGCACTACGCTGTTGTTAAATTTTATGTGCAACAGCTCTTGCATGGGAGGCATGAACCGGCGTGCCATTTTGGCCATCATCACTTTGGAGACTCTGCAGTGAGTGGCTTTCCTTCCCGGGAGTCCTTGGGCTTCCCATACCTTTCTAAGGCTCCGTCTACATTTTAAAGAATTAACACAGTTTGAGACCACTTTAACTGCTGTGGCTCAATGCTATGGAATCCTGGGAGTTGTAATTTTATAGGGAAAGGATTTTGTAAAACTGCAGCTCTTCCCTTTTCCTGCCTCCGTCTTTTGCAGAGGTGACCTCCTCGGACGCCGCTGCTTTGAAGTCCGGGTTTGCGCTTGTCCCGGAAGAGACAGGAAGTCGGAGGAAGAGAACGCGGAGAAAGCTACCATCCCTAAAATGAAATCTAAGAAGGGTAAATAGGGGAAATGGGATTTTGGGGGAGATGGGTGGATGGGGAAGCATTGGGTGCATCTACACCAAATATATGGGCAAACTTGGCCCCTCCAGGTGTTTTGGACTCCAACTCCCACCATTCCTAACAGCCTCAGGCCCTTTCCTTTTCCCCCTCAGCCGCTTAAGCGGCTGAGGGGGGAAAAGGAAAGGGCCTGAGGCTGTTAGGAATGGTGGGAGTTGGAATCCAAAACACCTGGAGGGGCCAAGTCTGCAAATGCCTGTTCTAAACAGTAGAGGAAAGCATGTTCCCAAATATCAGACTTTATTAATGTCTATCTCCTTGTTTTTATTTCAGTTGTTGTTCCAGCTCCTCCTCGGAGCAGCTCTTCCGAAAGCGCCAAGAGGTCGGCTGCGGGGTCTTCCAACAACGAGTCCGAAAGCGGACCCTATATCCTCCAGGTGAGTGGCCCTTTTGGGGGGCTCTGTTGGATGAAATGCTTTGGGGTGCATCTATACCAGAGCTTTCCAAACTTTCCGCATTTGAGACACGCATCATTTCGCGACACAGTAGTTTGTTTTTACTAGCAAAACAGAGGTTGAACCAAGAGTTCCATGCAATATATATGTATTATATATACTAGCTGTTGCCTGCCACGTGTTGCTGTGGCCCAGTCTGGTGATCCAGAAAATAAAGTAATGAGAAAGTGTTGGTTTCTAATATATGTAATTTCTTTATACTTGTGGGTAAACAGTATTTCTTGCTGTTTCTTTGTCAGTGTTGATGTGGAGATGGCTTGGTTTGCCCACTCTGGAACATGCAACATATTATTATCCTTCTTTAGGGGTCCTTTTCAAACCTATGATACTATATCTCTGTGTGTGTGTGAATCATGTCTATCTATATCTATGGCTGGATGGCTCTTTGTCAGAAGGGTTTTGATTACGTTTTCTTGCCGTGGTGAAGGGAGTTGGACTCGATGGCCTTCAGTATTTTCTGTTGGTCATGGGGGTTCTGTGTGGGAAGTTTCCCCCAATTCTGTTGTTAGCGGGGTTCAGAATGCTCTTAGATTGTAGGTGAACTATAAATCCCAGTAACTACAACTCCGAAATATCAAGGTCTATTTCCCCCAAACTCCATCTGTGTTCATATTTGGGCATATGGAATATTTGTGCCAAGTTTGGTCCAGATCCATCATTATTTGAGTCCACAGTGCTATCTGAATGTAGGTGAACCACAATTCCCAAACTCAAGGTCAATGCCCATCTTAGTCATGAGAATCCTGTTTGGTTCAATTCCATCATTGGTGGAGTTCAGAATGCTCTTTGATTGTAAGTAAACTATAAATCCAAGCAACTACAACTCCCAAATGACAAAATAAATTTTTTTGAGTGAAGGACATACATTGGGTTGTTAGGTGTCTTGTCTCCAAATTTGATGTCAATTCGCCCAGTGGTTTTTGAGTTCTGTTAATCCCACAAACGAACATTACATTTTTATTTATATAGTTACATATGATATGTATTATATTATGTATCATAAATATTTTATACCATAAAGACTATATGAAACTGGTATATTATATAAGTTTCATATAATCTTTATTGTATAAATGATGTTTGGACATTTTCTTTTTATACGTCTTATCTCCCACAGTTGATTGTTATTTCATATATATATCTATACACTAGGCTTGTTTGATCCAAAAAAAAGGTTCAAAACTCATTTCGGATGTAGGTGGTTCGATTCTAAAGTCAATTCTGATTTTCACAGAAAAACATGTTCAAAACTTTTCGAAACTTCTTGGACTTCTGAATTCTTTTGTTAATGGATTAAGCAAGAGGAGTAAATTCTTTTCTTCTCTGGTTTAAAACTGGCTTCTCTGGCTTGAACGAGGCCAGGGACCAGAAGTGGGGAAAAGCAAGAGGAGTAAATTCTTTTCTTCTCTGGTTTAAAACTGGCTTCTCTGGCTTGAACGAGGCGAGGGACTAGAAGTGGGGAAAAGCAAGAGGAGTAAATTCTTTTCTTCTCTGGTTTAAAACTAGCTTCTCTGGCTTGAACGAGGCCAGGGACCAGAAGTGGGGAAAAGCAAGAGGAGTAAATTCTTTTCTTCTCTGGTTTAAAACTAGCTTCTCTGGCTTGAGCGAGACCAGGGACTAGAAGCGGGGAAAGGCAAGTGGAGTAAATTCTTTTCTTCTCTGGTTTAAAACTGGCTTCTCTGGCTTGAACGAGGCCAGGGACTAGAAGTGGGGAAAAGCAAGAGGAGTAAATTCTTTTCTTCTCTGGTTTAAAACTGGCTTCTCTGGCTTGAACGAGGCCAGGGACCAGAAGTGGGGAAAAGCAAGAGGAGTAAATTCTTTTCTTCTCTGGTTTAAAACTGGCTTCTCTGGCTTGAACGAGGCCAGGGACCAGAAGTGGGGAAAAGCAAGAGGAGTAAATTCTTTTCTTCTCTGGTTTAAAACTAGCTTCTCTGGCTTGAGCGAGACCAGGGACTAGAAGCGGGGAAAGGCAAGTGGAGTAAATTCTTTTCTTCTCTGGTTTAAAACTGGCTTCTCTGGCTTGAGCGAGACCAGGGACTAGAAGCGGGGAAAGGCAAGTGGAGTAAATTCTTTTCTTCTCTGGTTTAAAACTGGCTTCTCTGGCTTGAGCGAGGCCAGGGACCAGAAGCGGGGAAAAGCAAGAGGAGTAAATTCTTTTCTTCTCTGGTTTAAAACTGGCTTCTCTGGCTTGAGCGAGGCCAGGGACTAGAAGCGGGGAAAAGCAAGTGGAGTAAATTCTTTTCTTCTCTGGTTTAAAACTGGCTTCTCTGGCTTGAACGAGGCCAGGGACCAGAAGTGGGGAAAAGCAAGAGGAGTAAATTCTTTTCTTCTCTGGTTTAAAACTGGCTTCTCTGGCTTGAACGAGGCCAGGGACTAGAAGTGGGGAAAAGCAAGAGGAGTAAATTCTTTTCTTCTCTGGTTTAAAACTGGCTTCTCTGGCTTGAACGAGGCCAGGGACCAGAAGTGGGGAAAAGCAAGAGGAGTAAATTCTTTTCTTCTCTGGTTTAAAACTAGCTTCTCTGGCTTGAGCGAGACCAGGGACTAGAAGCGGGGAAAGGCAAGTGGAGTAAATTCTTTTCTTCTCTGGTTTAAAACTGGCTTCTCTGGCTTGAACGAGGCCAGGGACTAGAAGTGGGGAAAAGCAAGAGGAGTAAATTCTTTTCTTCTCTGGTTTAAAACTGGCTTCTCTGGCTTGAACGAGGCCAGGGACCAGAAGTGGGGAAAAGCAAGAGGAGTAAATTCTTTTCTTCTCTGGTTTAAAACTGGCTTCTCTGGCTTGAACGAGGCCAGGGACCAGAAGTGGGGAAAAGCAAGAGGAGTAAATTCTTTTCTTCTCTGGTTTAAAACTAGCTTCTCTGGCTTGAGCGAGACCAGGGACTAGAAGCGGGGAAAGGCAAGTGGAGTAAATTCTTTTCTTCTCTGGTTTAAAACTGGCTTCTCTGGCTTGAACGAGGCCAGGGACCAGAAGTGGGGAAAAGCAAGAGGAGTAAATTTTTTTCTTCTCGGGTTTAAAACTAGCTTCTCTGGCTTGAGCGAGACCAGGGACTAGAAGCGGGGAAAGGCAAGTGGAGTAAATTCTTGTCTTCTCTGGTTTAAAACTGGCTTCTCTGGCTTGAGCGAGGCCAGGGACTAGAAGCGGGGAAAGGCAAGTGGAGTAAATTCTTTTCTTCTCTGGTTTAAAACTGGCTTCTCTGGCTTGAACGAGGCCAGGGACCAGAAGTGGGGAAAAGCAAGTGGAGTAAATTCTTTTCTTCTCTGGTTTAAAACTAGCTTCTCTGGCTTGAGCGAGACCAGGGACTAGAAGCGGGGAAAGGCAAGTGGAGTAAATTCTTTTCTTCTCTGGTTTAAAACTGGCTTCTCTGGCTTGAACGAGGCCAGGGACCAGAAGTGGGGAAAAGCAAGAGGAGTAAATTTTTTTCTTCTCGGGTTTAAAACTAGCTTCTCTGGCTTGAGCGAGACCAGGGACTAGAAGCGGGGAAAGGCAAGTGGAGTAAATTCTTCTTCTCTGGTTTAAAACTGGCTTCTCTGGCTTGAGCGAGGCCAGGGACTAGAAGCGGGGAAAGGCAAGTGGAGTAAATTCTTGTCTTCTCTGGTTTAAAACTGGCTTCTCTGGCTTGAGCGAGGCCAGGGACTAGAAGCGGGGAAAGGCAAGTGGAGTAAATTCTTGTCTTCTCTGGTTTAAAACTGGCTTCTCTGGCTTGAGCGAGGCCAGGGATCAGAATCAGGGAAAAGCAAGTGGAGTAAATTCTTGTCTTCTCTGGTTTGAGTGAGGCCAGGGACCAGAAGCAGGGAAAAGCTGAATAATTTCCGACTCACTTCATGAGTCGTAACAAAAATGGAGGAAAAAGCTTCAGAAGGGCAAAGGGATTTCCGGAGTTCTTAAAAACTTCAAAATCGAAAAGGTAATTTTTCCGAATTACGAAGATTCCGACGGTACCTAACCATGCCTACTATACACACATACATACATCTACATATTATATAACATATAAATTTCATATAATCTTTACTGCAAGTATGGTTGCATGCTGTAAGTTGCGTCTGGTGTGCGAATCAGACCACCTACTACAATGCAACTTGAGCCCTACCACATGCACAATGGAGGACTTTCTTGCAGCCACACCAGAGGCACTCCAAGTGGCCGGCTTCTGGTCAAAGGACATTTAGTACAATAGCAAGTTTTTAACTTTGTTTGTGGTTTTAAATGCATTATAATTGTATTCTGAATTCGCGTCTGACACAATAAATAGGGGACATGGGATTTTGGGGAGGATGGGTGAATGGGTAATGCATAAATGAGGTTTGAACATTTCCCATTTATGCTGCTTACGTTCTACATTCCTTTCTTGACTAATTTCCTCTCTTCATCGCAAACATCAATGTCAACAATTTTATTTTCTTAATTAGAAACTTATCCATTTTAGTGCTAATTTATGCAACTCAATTAAGAAATTGTGCAAATTATAACAGTTATAGCAACACCTACACTTAACAGCACCAGCACTCCATTTCTGTAGGGATTAAACCCCCATGGATGTTGTTAAATGGAAGCTGGATGGCCATCCACTGGAAGGGCTTTGACTGTGCATGCCTGCTTAGCTGATGGGGGTTGGACTAGATGCCCTTTGTGGATCCCTTCAAACTCTAGTGAAGTATAGACTGCTTGGGAGTGTGGGCGAATCTCCTTCTCTAGAGTTTTTTGAACTCAGTCAGGATGGCCATCTGTCAGGAGGGCTTTGAATGTGTCTCCACCCCCAAATTAATTGAATCGTCTCTTCTGGGTCTAGATCCGTGATCGGAAACACTACCGGATGCTGAAGGTAATCCTGGAAGCGCTTGAACTTCGAGAGGAGAAGCTGCAAGGAGAGGAGGAGGAGGCGGAGCCAGAGATTCACCGGTGAGTAAGCCCCGCCTCCTTGGGATGACTTAATGAAGCTCCTCCCCACAGGTCAATTAAGGACAAGGACCAGTTTGGGCTGGAAGGACAACTGTCATGTCCACAATGCCGCCTTGAAGATGGCCAAAGATATAGCAAAGAGCGAAGACAGAAGGGAGCAGAAGACACTTCCATCTTGTCTTTACTAATAATATAATATAGTATATTGTATATACATATAATATTTATAATATTATAATGTAGTACAATATAATACTAGTAATAATAATTCAATATTATAATTATATATTTACATTACATGTAATATTACTAATAATATTACACTATAATGGTATAGTGCAGTATAGTAATATATACTGATATTGTACTATGCTAATAATATAATATATTGTATGAAAATATATATTGTAAGCCACTCTGAGTCCCCTTCGGGGTGAGAAGGGCGCCATATAAATGCCGCAAATAAATAAATAAATAAATAAAATTATTCGAGCCACACATGACCCATAATACAGGTCAATTTAATTTAAAAGCTGAGGATTGTTCTATACCTTTAAAGTGATTTAAATATTTGTTTTTAATTCTGTTCTAATGTTTCAATGTTGTTGGGGGTTAAATTATATATATTTTTAGTATGGTGAACCAGTTTAGGTCTTATTTTTAAGAGAGAAAAGCAGGATATTTTAATAATAATAATAATAATAATAATAATAATAATATGTTTTTAACAATTGGAGCCCCCAGTGGCGCTCCTGACATGACAATAATAATAATAATAATAATAATAATAATAATAATAATAATAATAATAATAATATGTTTTTAACAATTGGAGCCCCCGGTGGCGCTCCTGACACGACAATAATAATAATAATAATAATAATAATAATAATAATAATAATATGTTTTTAACAATTGGAGCCCCCGGTGGCGCTCCTGACACGACAATAATAATAATAATAATAATAATAATAATAATAATAATATGTTTTTAACAATTGGAGCCCCCGGTGGCGCTCCTGACACGACAATAATAATAATAATAATAATAATAATAATAATAATAATAATAACAACATGTTTTTAACAATTGGAGCCCCCGGTGGCGCTCCTGACACGACAATAATAATAATAATAATAATAATAATAATAATAATAATAATAATAATAATAATAATAATAATAATAATAATATGTTTTTAACAATTGGAGCCCCCAGTGGCGCTCCTGACACGACAATAATAATAATAATAATAATAATAATAATAATAATAATAATAATAATAATATGTTTTTAACAATTGGAGCCCCCAGTGGTGCTCCTGACATGACAATAATAATAATAATAATAATAATAATAATAATAATAATATGTTTTTAACAATTGGAGCCCCCTGTGGCACTCCTGACACGACAATAATAATAAATAATAATAATAATAATAATAATAATAATAATAATATGTTTTTAACAATTGGAGCCCCCTGTGGCACTCCTGACACGACAATAATAATAATAATAATAATAATAATAATAATAATAATAATAATATGTTTTTAACAATTGGAGCCCCCAGTGGCGCTCCTGACACGACAATAATAATAATAATAATAATAATAATATGTTTTTAACAATTGGAGCCCCCGGTGGCGCTCCTGACACGACAAAAATAATAATAATAATAACAACAACATGTTTTTAACAATTGGAGCCCCCGGTGGCGCTCCTGACACGACAATAATAATAATAATAATAATAATAATAATAATAATAATAATAATATGTTTTTAACAATTGGAGCCCCCAGTGGTGCTCCTGACACGACAATAATAATAATAATAATAATAATAATAATAATAATAATATGTTTTTAACAATTGGAGCCCCCAGTGGCGCTCCTGACACGACAATAATAATAATAATAATAATAATAATAATAATAATAATAATAATATGTTTTTAACAATTGGAGCCCCCAGTGGCGCTCCTGACACGACAATAATAATAATAATAATAATAATAATAATAATAATAATATGTTTTTAACAATTGGAGCCCCCTGTGGCACTCCTGACACGACAATATAATAATAATAATAATAATATGTTTTTAACAATTGGAGCCCCCTGTGGCACTCCTGACACGACAATAATAATAATAATAATAATAATAATAATAATAATAATATGTTTTTAACAATTGGAGCCCCCTGTGGCACTCCTGACACGACAATAATAATAATAATAATAATAATAATAATAATAATAATAATAATATGTTTTTAACAATTGGAGCCCCCAGTGGCGCTCCTGACACGACAATAATAATAATAATAATAATAATAATATGTTTTTAACAATTGGAGCCCCCGGTGGCGCTCCTGACACGACAAAAATAATAATAATAATAATAATAATAATATGTTTTTAACAATTGGAGCCCCCGGTGGCGCTCCTGACACGACAATAATAATAATAATAATAATAATAATAATAATAATAATAATAATATGTTTTTAACAATTGGAGCCCCCAGTGGTGCTCCTGACATGACAATAATAATAATAATAATAATAATAATAATAATAATAATAATAATAATATGTTTTTAACAATTGGAGCCCCCGGTGGCGCTCCTGACACGACAATAATAATAATAATAATAATAATAATAATAATAATAATAAACATGTTTTTAACAATTGGAGCCCCCGGTGGCGCTCCTGACACGACAATAATAATAATAATAATAATAATAATAATAATAATAATAATAATAATATGTTTTTAACAATTGGAGCCCCCGGTGGCACTCCTGACACGACAATAATAATAATAATAATAATAATAATAATAATATGTTTTTAACAATTGGAGCCCCCTGTGGCACTCCTGACACGACAATAATAATAATAATAATAATAATAATAATAATAATATGTTTTTAACAATTGGAGCCCCCTGTGGCACTCCTGACACGACAATAATAATAATAATAATAATAATAATAATAATAATAATAATAATATGTTTTTAACAATTGGAGCCCCCAGTGGCGCTCCTGACACGACAATAATAATAATAATAATAATAATATGTTTTTAACAATTGGAGCCCCCTGTGGCACTCCTGACACGACAATAATAATAATAATAATAATAATAATAATAATATGTTTTTAACAATTGGAGCCCCCTGTGGCACTCCTGACACGACAATAATAATAATAATAATAATAATAATAATAATAATAATAATATGTTTTTAACAATTGGAGCCCCCAGTGGTGCTCCTGACATGACAATAATAATAATAATAATAATAATAATAATAATAATAATAATAATATGTTTTTAACAATTGGAGCCCCCGGTGGCGCTCCTGACACGACAATAATAATAATAATAATAATAATAATAATAATAATAATAATAATATGTATGTTTACATACCTTTTGGAGCCCCCGGTGGCGCTCCTGACACGAAATAATAATAATCAGAATAATAATAATATACTAATAATAATAATAATTAATATGTTTGGCTTCCTGGTGAGTGCATAGCGATCCTGACCACGACAATAACAATAAAATCAATAAATAATATTCCAGAAAAGAACCCCAGTGGTGGCTCAGACTGATCCATAATATAATAATAATAATAATATGTTTTAACAGCATTTTTGGCAAACTGTGGACACTAAAATAATAATAATAATAATAATTATAAAAATAATATTTGGTTGTACACAATTGGAGCCACCTGTTGGGCCCCCACCAATCATGACACGACAATAATAATAAAAAGAATAATAAAAATAATAATAATAATAATAATAATATGTTTTAACAGCATTCGTGGCCTCCTGACACGACAATAATAATAAATAATAATAATAATAATAATAATAATAATAATAATATGTTTTTAGCCCCCAGTGGCGCTCCTGACACGACAATAATAATAATAATAATAATAATAATATGTTTTTAACAATTGGAGCCCCCAGTGGTGCTCCTGACATGACAATAATAATAATAATAATAATAATAATAATAATAATAATATGTTTTTAACAATTGGAGCCCCCGGTGGTGCTCCTGACACGACAATAATAATAATAATAATAATAATAATAATAATAATAATAATAATATGTTTTTAACAATTGGAGCCCCCGGTGGTACTCCTGACACGACAATAATAATAATAATAATAATAATAATAATAATAATAATATGTTTTTAACAATTGGAGCCCCCGGTGGCGCTCCTGACACGACAATAATAATAATAATAATAATAATAATAATAATAATAATAATAATAACAACATGTTTTTAACAATTGGAGCCCCCGGTGGCGCTCCTGACACGACAATAATAATAATAATAATAATAATAATAATAATAATAATAAACAATTGGAGCCCCCTGTGGCACTCCTGAAAAATAATAATAATAATAATAATAATAATAATAATAATAATAATAATATGTTTTTAACAATTGGAGCCCCCTGTGGCACTCCTGACACGACAATAATAATAATAATAATAATAATAATAATAATAATATGTTTTTAACAATTGGAGCCCCCTGTGGCACTCCTGACACGACAATAATAATAATAATAATAATAATAATAATAATAATAATAATAATATGTTTTTAACAATTGGAGCCCCCTGTGGCACTCCTGACACGACAATAATAATAATAATAATAATAATAATAATAATAATAATATGTTTTTAACAATTGGAGCCCCCAGTGGCGCTCCTGACACGACAATATTAATAATAATAATAATAATATGTTTTTAATAATTGGGCTATTCCATGAGGTCACGAAGAGTCGGAGACGACTGAACGAATGAACAACAACAACAATTGGAGCCCCCGGTGGCACTCCTGACACAACAAAAAAGCAAACAAACTAATTCTGGGCTTAATTCTTATTTAATATTTATGTATTGTGGATTTTCAATTGTATTTTTCTTTTGGTATTGTGAGCTGCCTCAATTGTCAAGATAAAATGGGAAATAATAATAATAATACTTTATTTATACCCCGCTACCATCTCCCCAAGGGACTCGGTGCGGCTTACATGAGGCCGAGCCCACAATACATCAATACAAGTAATAACATTCACAATACAAAGCAAAGCAATTAAAATAAATCTCATACACAAATAGCATGAACATAAACAAAAACACAATGCACATTTAAAAGCTATGGCTGGGCCAAATGTAATTGAAGTTTAAAAATAATGCTGGGCATGAGCAACATAGAGGAGATGGGGCATTGGTGGAAATGTACAGGCAGTCTTAAATCAGTATAAAGTGCTTTTAGAGGACATAATGCTGAGGGTTCATTATTCTTGCAAGGCACACTGGAACAACCACGTCTTCAAGCTCCTCCTAAATAATAATAATAATAATAATAATAATAATAATAATATCCCATTTTAAAATGAGACTTGAGGAAGCTCATAATACCAAAAGAAAAATACAATTGAAAATCTTCAACATATAAATATTAAAATAGAATTAAGCCCAGAATTGTTAAAAAATTATTATTATTATTATTATTATTATTATTATTATTATTATTATTTGAAACAACAAGATGAGTCCACAGCAGACACTCTGCTGGCTGTTGTATTGGATCACACGTCGGACACTTCCCAAGTGTCTAGGACTGTATGACGAATAATGCGTGCAGATCCCAGTAAGGTGGCCTTCTGCAGCTGGCAGATGGTAATTTTGTCAGTGCTGATTGTGTTTAAGTGCAGGCCAAGGTCTTTAGGCACTGCACCCAGTGCGCCAATCATCCCTGGGACCCCCTTGACTGGCTTGTGCCAGAGTCTTTGCAGTTCAATCTTTAAATCCTCATATTGTGTCAGCTTTTCCAGTTGTTTCTCTGCAATCCTGCTGTCACCTGGGATTGCAACATCGACAATCCATACTTTGTTTTTTAACACGATTGTGAGGTCAGGAGTATTGTGCTCCAAAACTCTGTCTGTCTGAATCCGGAAGTCCCAGAGTAGCTTGACGTGTTCATTCTCTGTAACTTTTCTGGCTTGTGATCCCACCAGTTTTTTGTCGCAGGCAGATGGTATTTGTGGCACAAGTTCCAATGAATCATCTGAGCAATTGTGTTATATACACATGTGGTGGCAATGTAAATATGTAAATAATTTTTGAGAGAAAGTATTTAGAGAAATAGAAACTATAATGAATATGAAAATAGATAAAAGTCCTAGTATAGCCTTACTATCATTATATAACAATAAGCAATTGAAAAAGGAGGATAAAGAAGCGATAACAAACTTACTAACTATAGCAAGACTGCTCATAGCAAGGAATTGGAAAAAAGAAATGAATATACAAATAGAGGAGTGGTATAAGGAAGCATGGAAAATAGCAATAAATGATAAATTGACATGTATATTAAAGGTTAAAAAAGGTACATGGAAACAAAGCGATTTTGATGCTGTATGGGGAAGATTTGTGGTAAATGGATTAAAAAATAAGGAAGGAAAATTACCGTCACAAGAAGAAATGAAATTTTGGACAGATGAAATGTAAGAATGGTGGCTTGAGACGGGTGGAGGGGAGCACTGTGGTGAAAAAAGGAAAAAAAGAGAAAAGGGGGGGAAATGTCAAAGCAAAACAACTAAACAACATGTTAAAGAGGCTGATGTACAAAATGCAATAGTATGTAATAAATGTGATAAATCAATAAAAAATTATTAAAAAAAAAAAAGAATGTTTCTGGAACATGGCCAGACAGCCCGGAAAACGCACAACAACCTAGTGATTCCAGCCATGAAAGCCTTTGACAAAATAATAATAATAATAATAATAATAATAATAATAATAGTAAAAGTCGACAACAGGTTCCAAATGTAGACTCTGCAAGGAAGCAGGTGAAACAATAGATCTCATCCTCAGCTGCTGCAAGAAGATCACGCAGAGAGACTCCAAGCAGAGGCACAACACCATTGCTCAGACGATTCATTGGAACTTGTGCCAAAAGACCATCTGCCTGTGACAAAGAACTGGTGGGATCACAAGCCGGAAAAAGTTACAGAGAATGAACACGCCAAACTCCTCTGGGACTTCCGAATTTAGACAGAGTTTTGGAGCACAAGACTCCTGACCTCACAATGTTAAAAAACAAAGTATGGATTGTCGATGTTGCAATCCCAGGTGACAGGAGGATTGAAGAGAAACAACTGGAAAAGATGACACGATATGAGGATTTAAAGATCGAACTGCAAACTCTGGCACAAGCCAGTCAAGGTGGTCGCAGTGGTGATCGGCACACTGGGTCCAGTGCCTAAAGACCTTGGCCTGCACTTAAAAATAATCGGCACTGACAAAATCACCACCTGTCTGCTACAAAAGGCCACCCTACTCGGATCTACACGCATTATTTGCCGATATTAGGAAGCGTCCAATGTGTGATCATATACAAAAGCCAGCAGAGCAATCTTGTTGCTGTGTACTAATCTTGTTATGTATCTAACAATAACAATAATACTACCTCTGAGGATGCTTGCCATAGATGCAGGCGAAACATCAGGAGAAATGCCTCTAGAACATGGCTCTATAGCCCGAAAAAACCCACAAGAACCTAGTGATTCCAGCCAAGAAAGCCTTCGACAATACATTGAACAATAATAATAATAATACATCACACAGTCCTAGATGCTTGGGAAGCATTCGACTTGTGATTTTGTGATACGAAATCCAGCATAGAGATCTCGTTTTCTGTGACATACTGTGCTTTTGTGTCAATAATAATAATAATAATAATAATAATAATAAAATCACACAGTCTTAGATGCTTGGGAAGTGTTCGACTTGTGATTTTGTGATATGAAATCCAGCATATAGATCTTGTTTGCTGTGACATACTGTGTTTTTGTGTCAATAATAATAATAATAATATTTCCTTCTCTTTCTCTAGCTTGCCAAAGGCAAAACGGAAGCGGCTCCGACTAAAGGAGGAGAACCCGGATTCAGACTAAGGATCAAGCCTTTTTTTTTTTAAAGAAAATTAAGTCAGCTTTTAGTCAGTGGTCCCATATTGGGGGCCATATATATCTCTGTATTCTCGGTGGCTGGAGGGGAAGGGACTCTCGCATGGCCTACACTGATTGAATGGGGAAACTGTCCGGTAATACATTACTATAATATTGCTTTGGGACCTCATCCATCGCGGTTTGCATTTCCGGTTCCCTGCCATTCTGCCAAAACTGGGGCAGGATTCAGACACGGTTCTTCTGTTGTGCGAATGCATTGGGGCTTGTAGCTTGGCCACTATAGCATTGAGTAAACTGCCGTTCGATATGGAGATTCAATCGATCTTCTTGGTTAATTCCAATCTTGAATGTCATTAAGTACAAAAGTTGACATCTCATCCCTCCATTGAATCCAGAGTAATTCCAAGACTGGTCATCATCATTTAGATGACCTTTCCCTATCAAACCCCATGCATTAGGAGTTCCTCTCCAATCACCTTCAGCTAGAGGTATTTTTTTTAATTTAGACAACCTTGCTATCTTTGTACTTGCTTCCCCTTCGCTTTTCTGAACTTCCCCATTTTGTAGCAATCCCTATTTTTATACCAAAATAAAATTGCATTTGTTTTTCCTAATGTTTCTGATCTTTGATTTCTGTGTCCAGGAGAGAGTGAGGCCTTTGAAGACGGGGAAGTGACTTTTGGTCCCAGCAGTTTTTGGCCAAAACTAACAAAATGAAGTTCATCAGGGACAAATGCAAGATACTCCACTTTGGCAGGAAAAACGAAATGCAAAGATAGAATCATAGAATCAAAGAGTTGGAAGAGACCTCATGGGCATTCCAGTCCAACCCCATTCTGTCACGAAGCAGGAATATTGCATTCAAAGCACCCCTGACAGATGGCCATCCAGCCTCTGTTTAAAAGCTTCCAAAGAAGGAGCCTCCACCACACTCCGGGGCAGAGAGTTCCACTGCTGAATGGCTCGCACAGTCAGGAAGTTCTTCCTCATGTTCAGATGGAATCTCCTCTCTTGTAGTTTGAAGCCATTGTTTTGTGTCCTAGTCTCCAGGGAAGCAGAAAACAAGCTTGCTCCCTCCTCCCTGTGGCTTCCTCTCACATATTTATACATGGCTATCATATCTCCTCTCAGCCTTCTTTCTTCAGGCTAAACATGCCCAGCTCCTTAAGCCGCTCCTCATAGGGCTTGTTCTCCAGACCCTTGATCATTTTAGTCGCCCTCCTCTGGACACATTCCAGCTTGTCATATCTCTCTTGAATTGTGGTGCCCAGAATTGGACACAATATTCCAAATGTGGTCTAACCAAAGCAGAATAGAGGGGTAGCATTACTTCCTTAGATCTAGACACTATGCTCCTATTGATGCAGGCCAAAATCCCATTGGCTTTTTTTGCTGCCACATCACATTGTTGGCAGAATGGGGTTGGACTAGATGGCATATGACGTCTCTTCCAACTCTTTGATTCTATAATTCTAGGTGTCACAATCCTCGATTCTATGCTTACTGGAGGATTCTGGGAGTTGTAGTCCCATCAGTGTTTTTTTAAAATTCTGCCAATATTATTTATTTATTACTAGCTTGGGGACCCGGCGTTGCCCGGGTTATTAGAGAAAGTGGGTAATGGCGGTTCTGTATGGCAAGTTTGGTCTTTATTGGTCTTTGAATAACGGCTGCATTATTTTCAGGAAGTGAGTGAAGGTACTTGAAGTCCCATCATCCAAAGTCGATCCTCCTTCAAACTGCAGCAGGATGCAGAGTGGGTCATGGGGGCTCTGTGTGCCAAGTTTGATCTTGATCAGACATTAGATGAGGGTTGCAGCTGTCTTGGGAAGGGAGTGGTGGTACTTCAAGTCCCATCATCCATGGTCTGTCCTCCTCAAAAGTGCACCAGGATGTAGAGTGGGTCATGGGGACTCTGTGTGCCAAGTTTGGTCTTGATCAGTCATTGGCAAGGATCTCAGTGGTCTCAGGAAGTGAGTGAAGTGACTGCAAGTCCCATCATCCATTGTCAAATTCTTCCAAACCGCACCAGGATGTAGAGTGGTTATGCGGGCTCTCTGTGTAAATTGTGGTCCTGATCCATCATTGTTGGCAGTTGTAATGGTTTTAGGAAGGGAGTGCAGGTATTGCAAGTCCCATCGTCCATGGTGCATCCTCCTCCAAGCCGCACCAGGATGTAGAGTGCGTCATGGAGACTCAGTGTGGCAAGTTTGGTCTTTATCGGTAATTGGATGAGGGTTGCAGTGGTCTCAAGAATTGAGCAAAGGTACTGCAAGTCCCATAATCCATGGTCCATCCCCGGCCAAACCACACCAGATGTAAAGTGGGTCATGAGAGGTCTATGTTCCAAGTTTGGTCCTGATCAGTCATTGGATGAGGTTAACAGCGGTCTCAGAATGTGAGTGATGGTACACTGCAAGTCCCATCATCCATGGTTCATAGTCCTCCAAACTGCAGTAGGATGTCGAGTGGGTGATGGGGGCTCTGTGTGCCTATTTCGGTCTGTATTGGGAGTGTTCTGACCCAGCCCCCTTTGGCCTTTCCTTTCCTCTCTTTGTCATCTCGGAATGTTGGATTTGAGGCTGGCCAATCAGAGACCATATGCAAATTTCCTTCTGTCATGCCCCGTTTCTGCCATGAACCCTCTTCTCCACCAGGGGCTCCTGTGAAGCTGGCCAATCAGAGACCATATGCAAATAGCTCCACAGCGGCAGCCAATCAGAATCTTGGAACTTTCAGGCTAGCCAATCGGAAAGCTGCCACAAACACGTCCGCCCTCCACACTTCTGCCCTTCCACTACAAACACTCTCTTTTATTATATACTAGCTTGGGGACCCGGCGCTGCCCGGGTTATTAGAGAAAGTGGGTAATGGCGGCTCTGTATGCCAAGTTTGGTCTTTATTGGTCATTGGATGACGGTTGCATTGTTTTCAGGAAGTGAGTGAAGGTACTTGAAGTCCCATCATCCATGGTCACCCTCCTCCAAACAGCAGCAGGATATAGAGTGGGTCATGGGGGCTCTGTGTGCCAAGTTTGGTCTTTATCAGTCATTGGATGAGGGTGGCAGTGGTTTCAGTAAGTGAGTGAAGGTACTGCAAGTCCCATCATCCAAGTCCACCCTCCTTCAAACTGCAGCAGGATGCAGAGTGGGTCATGGGGGCTCTGTGTGCTAAGTTTGGTCTTTATCAGTCATTGGATGAGGGTCGCAGTGGTTTCAGTAAGTGAGTAAAGGTACTGCAAGTCCCATCATCCATCGTCCGTCCCCCAAACAGCATCGGGATGTAGAGTGGGTCATGGGGGCTCTGTGTGCCAAGTTTGGTCTTGATCGGACATTAGATGAGGGTTGCAGCAGTCTTGGGAAGGGAGTGAAGGTACTTGAAGTCCCATCATCCATGGTCTATCCTCCTCAAAAGTGCACCAGGATGTAGAGTGGGTCATGGGGACTCTGTATGCCAAGTTTGGTCTTGATCAGTCATTGGCAAGGGTCTCAGTGGCCTCAGGAAGTGAGCAAAGGTACTGCAAGTCCCATCATCCATCTCCAAAGTTTTCCAAACAACACCAGAACATAACGTGGGTCATGCGGGCCCTCTGTGCGAATTGTGATCCTGATCCATCACTGTTGGCAGTTGTAATGGTCTCAGGAAGGGAGTACAGGTATTGCAAGTCCCATCGTCCATGGTGCATCCTCCCCCAAACCGCACCAGGATGTAGAGTGCATCAAGGAGACTCAGTGTGCCAAATTTGGTCTTTATCAGTAATTGGATGAGGGTTGCATTGGTCGCAGGTACTGCAAGTCCCATAATCCACGGTCCAGCCCCAGCCAAACCACACCAGGACGTAAAGTGGGTCATGAGAGGTCTCTGTGCGAAGTTTGGTCCTGATCAGTCATTGGATAAGGTTAACAGCGGTCTCAGAATGTGAGTGGTGGTACTGCAAGTCCCATCAGCCATGGTTCATAGTCCTCCAAACTGCAGTAGGATGTAGAGTGGGTGATGGGGGCTCTGTGTGCCTAGTTTGATTGGGAGTGTTCTGACCCAGCCCCCGGCCTTTCCTTTCCTCTCTTTGTCATCTCGGAATGTTGGATTTGAGGCTGGCCAATCAGAGACCATATGCAAATTTCCTTCTGTCATGTCCCTGTTTCTGTCATGAACCCTTTTCTCCACCAGGGGCTCCTGTTCAAGCAGGCCAATCAGGGAGCATATGCAAATAGCACCACAGCAGCAGCCAGTCAGAATCTTGGAACTTTCAGGCTGGCCAATCAGAAAGCCGGCACAAACTCCTCTGCCCTACGTCCTCCCTCTGCCCTACGTCCTCCCTCTGTCCTCCCACACATACAAACTTTGACTTTTATTATATACTAGCTTGGGACCCGGCGTTGCCCGGGTTATTAAGGAAAGTGGGTAATGGCGGTTCTGTATGCCAAGTTTGGTCTTTATTGGTCTTTGGATAACGGCTGCATTATTTTCAGGAAGTGAGTGAAGGTACTTGAAGTCCCATCATCCATGGGCCATCCTCCTACAAACAGCAGCAGGATATAGAGGGGGTCATGGGGGCTCTGTGTGCCAAGTTTGGTCTTTATCAGTCATTAGATGAGGGTGGCAGTGGTGTCAGTAAGTGAGTGAAGGTACTGCAAGTCCCATCATCCAAAGTCCATCCCCTTTCAAACTGCAGCAGCATGTAGAGTGGATCATGGGGGCTCTGTGTGCCAAGTGTGGTCTTGATTGGTCATTAGAAGAGGGTTGCAGCAATCTTTGGAAGGGAGTGGGGGTACTTGAAGTCCCATCATCCATGGTCTGTCCTCCTCCAAACTGCACCAGGATGTAGAGTGGGTCATTGGAGCTCCATGTGCCAAGTGTAGTCTTGATCCGTCATTGGCGAGGGTCTCTGGTCTCAGGAAGTGAGCAAAGGTACTGCAAGTCCCATCATACATCTCCAAAGTTTTCCAAACAACACCAGGACGTAACGTGGGTCATGAGAGGTCTATGTGCCAAGTCTTGATCC